AGGGGGTGACGGGCGTGTGCGGCTGGTTTCTGGTTTTCGCCTTTGTGGTCCCCCGGGCTGTGTGACCCGTGGGGGAGCGGCTTCTTCTGACCTCCCTGTGCGCGTTTTCTCTTCTCAGAAGCTTCGCCGTGATGATCACATTTGCTTCAAGTTTTCACTGGTTTTCTTTCTTTTTTTTTAATGGTTTAAGAGTCCTCGGGTTCAACCTGGGAACTAGGAAAGGTCTCAGGGCCCTGGTGCCTGCCTGGAAAGGGGGTGCCCTCCTCGGTCACCGAGATCTTGGGGGGCCAGGAGGGGTTTCCTGAGTTACGTTTGGCCCGTAGACACGCTGCAGGCTTTTTCCTGAGTCAATGAACGGACACACGGATACCCTGTAAGGAATGGGTGGGGATTCCGAGGGCGAGAGGATGGGGCGGCTCTTCCAGGACCAAGGAGCTGGGTGCCGAAAAGGCCGAGAGCCAGAGGAAATGTTTGATAGCAACTCAGGGGCAGGAGTGCCGGGGGGCGCCTCGCACAGCGCCTCTCACTCACACAGCAGGGACTCGCCCAGTTCCTGCCCGTCTCCACGTGCGCGTGTAAACATGCGCGTCTCCATGGCATTCCTCACCCTGGTGCAGGCTGCCTTCTGGACTTGGTTTTCCTGCGTCCTGACCGAGCCTCTGGTGTTGCCCACACGTTAGGTTCAAGTGCAGTAAGTGACGGTGATGTGTGGCTTGAAATGTTTCCCCTCAGAGGAGACGTGGAACTAAAGGCTAGAAAACCGGGTTTGGGCTGATTCTACTGGTGGACTCTGTTGGATGCAGACCCTGGGGGTGTGGATGGGAGGGTGCAGGAGGCTGGGACTGGTTGCTGATGTTGGGCAGTAAAGAGCTTGGCCCCCAGTTCTTGAAGGTGATGACGATGTTTCATCACAGGCAGGATTCCTTGGGCTTGTACATCATGCTTTCCTGTGAGGGCGGTCATAAGAACGACACCTCGAAGCTCATTGTGGTGTTGCTGTGAGCATGTCGCTTAGGAGACACGGAGCCAGTTCTTGTCGTTTGGCACCTGGTCCTGGTGATAGCGTGCTGCGAGCCAGTGTCCCGCATTCTCCGTGGGTCCTCAGTGCGTTACTGATGCGCTTCTCCATCGGCAGAGCCCGGAACCGAACCTGGGCCACGTCCTAACAATGCAGGCACCTTAGGGTGTAAGTGTGTGCTTTCCTCCGTCTGGCTTTTGGTCATTGCCTGCCTTTGCGTTCCTTTGGCCCAAATGACAGGGCCACTTAGGTGCTTCATGCTCTGTCTTCCTTGGCCGTGTTAAATCCATTGTGGGAGAGCAAACGGTCTCGGTGAGTTCACGCGTAGAACGAAGCTAACAGAACCGAGTTCGAGTTGAGTAAACGCTTGCTGTCACTGTTTCAGGACGGGAAAGGAAGGCCAGCCCCGAGAGTACTACACCTTGGATTCCATCTTGTTCCTCCTCAATAATGTGCACCTTTCTCATCCTGTGTATGTCCGACGCGCAGCCGTGAGTAGAATTCGTTTTAAAACGTTTTTATTTAACTGGTGGCTATCACTGGGCATGGGTTTCAGATCCAAAGGACGAAAGGCTCCTCGTGTGTCCTAATGACAACGTTGTGATTGATGTCAATTTTTTTACATGTAATGTGGGGGTGGTGGTTACGACAACAGAAGTTTTGAGGTTATTTGTAGGGATTTTTTAAAAAAACTTAACTTGTCTGTGGAAGAGCCCTGGTATTCAGAACTCTAGTTTAATCTTTAGAAAACGTTTTTGACATCAGAAAGAATTAAAAATAACAGACAACTTTTAAAATGAATGTTTAATCAAACTTTTCACACTTATTGATAAATTAATTTGTTTTCAGTTTTGCCTGATTTGTGCATTTCAGTGTTTGAACACTGCTTTTCTGAACAAGAAATACATACCTAGTGTCAATTTCTTTTAAAAATATATTTTTATTAATTTCAGAGAGGAAGCAAAAGGGAGAGAGAGATAGAAACATCAATGATGAGAGAGAATCAATGATCGGCTGCCTCCTGCACGCCCCCCACTGGGGATCGAGCCCACAACCCAGGCATGTGCCCTTGACTGGAATCGAACCCGGGATCCTTCAGTCCGCAGCCGACGCTCTATCCACTGAGCCACACCAGCTAGGGCATGACATTTATCTTTACCAAGTTTCCTATCATAGTTACTGATTTGATTTCTAACTTAAACTTTCGATTTCAGACTGAAAACATTCCTGTGGTTAGAAGACCTGACCGAAAAGATCTGCTTGGCTATCTCAATGGGGAAGCATGTGAGTCCTTTTTACATTGCGGTCACTCTTAGGCAGACAAGTGACCTAAAGCCTGACCTACCTGCATTGAGTGCATCGGCTCCTTTCCCTCCCGGGAGAGCGAGTGCGAGGTCCCGGCTCCCGAGTCCAGGCACCCCTGGGAACGGGCTCCATCACCTCGCGCACTCTCACAGGCTCTGCCTTTGAAAATCCTTTTTTAAAAATTCTCCCTTTATTTATTTATTTTTCTTTGTTAATCCTCAGCCAAAGATATTTTTCCATTGATTCTTAGAGAGAGTGGAAGGGAGGAGGAGAGACAGAGAGAGACATCCATGTGAAAGAGACACATCGATTGGTTGCCTCCCGCACACGCTCCAGCCGGGGCCGGGGATTGAGCCTGCAACTGAGGTTCGTGCCCTTGACTGGAATCGAACCCGTGTCCCTTCCGTCAGCGGCTGACGCGATATCCACGGAGCCAAACCGGCAGGGCTGCCTTTGAAAATTCTTGCTTTCCTCTTGTATCATCAGTTTTCTCTTCTGCATCGTTCCCTTTAGAATACAGACAGTAAGGGCTCGTGTGAAAATGAATTTGACCCCTACATTCCTACTATCTACTGCTCCATTGGTCTTACCCTTTTTGCTGCAGAAACCTTTGCCAGCATTGTGTGGCATCCCTGCTGCTGCTGCTCTACCTCTGCTTCTCTCTGAGTCACTCCAGCCTGGCTTTCTTCCCCACCACCCCACTAAAGCCCTCCTGTGAGGTCAGCGCTGACCCAGGGACGGCCAAGCCCCTCGTCTCTTCCCACAGCGACTCACCTCAGCAGCACCTGATACTGTTGCCTGCTCCCTCTCCGAGAGCCTGTGTCCCCTCAGCATTGGGGGCACTGCTGTTGTCTTTCTGCTCATCATCCACCTCTCTTTTTGTTTTGCACACTTCCTCCCCGCCAGTGTCGGGGTCACTCTCAACACCTTCCCTCGGAGATTTCTAGAAAAAAAAATTTTTTTTTTTTTTTTTAAATTTCAGAGAGGAAGGGAGACGGGGAGAGAGAAAGAAATATCAGTGATGAGATAGCATCATGGATTGGCTGCCTCCTGCACGGCCCCTACTGGGGATCGAGCCCACACCTGGGCATGTGCCCTTGACCGGAATCGAACCCCGGACCCTTCAGTCCGTAGATCGACGCTCTATCCACTGAGCCAAGCCAGTCAGGGCTAGGCATCTGGAATTGAATGTATCCTGAACTGCAGTGCTGATCCCTCCTCCCGGCTCCTGGAAACAGAACTAATACAGCACCTTCACTCGCAGGGTCCCACCCGGGAAGGGGTTGCCTGTTCATGTAGTTGCTCCTCCATTCCATCTTGACAGTCTGACAGCCTCTGGCTGGCCTCCTCCCAGCCTGTTCCACGCTTTGTCTCCAGACCTCTGCATGGCCCTCCCACGGGTCCCCACACCCCACAC